GAGGGACTGATCTCCTTATAATTACTTCAAGACTGGTGGACTGATCACCTTATAACTGTGGGACTAATTCTTCCAGCCTGAGAGACTGATCGCCTTGTAACTACTGCTACTACATAGTTTAGGGGCTGATCACCTCAGAACTAATTCTGAGGGACTGACAGTGGCTCCTCATTCTTTTCATCTCTATTTCAACTTACTTCAGCTTGGCAGTCTCTCTCACATTTTTTTTCATTCATCTAGTTCATCACTTTTACCTTCCTCAGTCCTCCCATCCTGCTCTACCTCTCCTTCACCCCTTCTTTCATTCCTTTCCTTCGGATCTTCTGCATTCCCTTACTTCGCTTCTTCCATCTTCTCTCTACTTTCTTGCGGTTCTTCCATATTTCCTTTCGCCACACTTGACTGTTGCATCGTCTTCCTCTACTTTATCTCGTCGCTTTTATTTTGTCACTACTTTCCGTCTCCTCTACCTCCTCCTCCATTCTCTCTCTCTCTCTCTCTCTCTCTCTCTCTCTCTCTCTCTCTCTCTCTCTCTCTGCTCTCTCCCTCTCCCTTGCGCTTTTCATTTGTCCTTCATATCCCATTCATTTTATTCAATTTTCTTTCTTTTCTTCATTGCCCCTTTCATTCTCTTATTGCAAACATCAATTCCACCTTCCTTTCTTTCTCGACCTTTAAACTTCCTTTTCCCTTCCCTTTACCCCTTCCACCTTCCCTCTCTGCACTTTATTTTCTTCTTTTCTTCATTTCTCTCTCCCCTCTTCCTTGCCCCTTCCAACTTTTTCTCTCCCACACTCATCCCATCTGCCCTTCCCCTCTTTCCCGACCCATCCATCATCCCTCTCCTGTCCCTCGTCCTTCCATAATCCTCTTCCCTTTTTTCGACGCTTTCATCAACCCTCTCCTCTTCCCTGACCCTTACATTCTTCCGTGTCCGTGGTGCCCCTCCATCCCTGCAGTGCTTCCTGCTTGGAGAGGCGGTTGTTATTGTCTCCACCCGAGACTGAGTGGCTTGCCCTTCGATAAATCAGGCAGAGCTACAACCTTTGTCTCTTGATGAGCTTGGACGAGCCAGTCTCTTATCTCCTCTACTGTGTGCGTGCGTGCGTGTACGTGCGCTCACCTGTTTGTACTCGCCTATTTGTATTCACAGTTCCTGGGCCCCCCCGTTTCGCTAGTCGCTACTACGTCCGCTCTCTCTGATCCATGAGCTTTATCGTATCTTTTATTAAAGCTATGTATGGATTCTGCCTCCAGTACATCACTCTCCAGATTGTTCCACTTCCTGACAGCTTTGTGACTCATCTCAGATTTCATCTTCCAATTGTGACACGTTGTTGCTGTATCCCATCTCTGAAACATTTTGTACATATCCACCTTGCCAAATCCTCAGTATTTTATACGTCGTTATCATGCACCCTCTCTCTCTCTCTCTCTCTCTCTCTCTCTCTCTCTCTCTCTCTCTCTCTCTCTCTCTCTCTCTCTCTCTCTCTCTCCCTCTCTCCCCTGTCGTTCAGTGTCGTCAGGTTGATTTCCATTAACATCTCAGATATAACACTTAGCTCCGGGACAAGTCTTGTTGCAAACCTTTGCACTTACTCTGATTTCCTGACATGCTTGCCCAGGTGTGGGTTCCATATTGGTGCTGCATATTCCAGTATTTTGAATGACTCCATATTCAGGTGTCGAAACCCTATTATTAGGTTTGCAGTCGCCCATATGCTGCAGCAGTTATTTGGTTGATATGCGCCACAGGAGATGTGCTCGGTATTATACTCACCCCAAGATCCTTTTCCTTGAGAGAGGTTTGCAGACTTTGGACCCCTAGCCTGTACTATGTTTGCGGTTTTCTTTAACCTTCCCCAGTCTCCTGTACTATGTTTGCGGTTTTCTTTAACCTTCCCCAGTCTTCATGACTTTGCACTCGGTGGCGTTAAATTCCAGGACCCAGTTACTGGACCTGACTTGCAGCCTGTCCTTTCTAATCCTACCTGATCCTTCATCCGTTTGAATTCTCCGCATTAGCTTCACATCGTCTCCAATTAGGGACACCTCTGAATCTATCCTTTCCGTCATGCCATTCACATATACCACAAACGACACCGGTCCTAAGACTGACCCTCGCGGAGCCCCGCTCTGCACAGAGCGGGGCTCGTTTCTTTTCTGTCAGATATTCTTTGATCCATTGCAGTGCCTTTCCTGTCATTTCTGCTTGCTCCTCTAGCTTGTGCAGTAATCTCTTCTACGGAACTGTGTCGAAAGCCTTATATTCCAAAAAAATGCAGTCTACCCACCCCTCTCTCTCCGGTCCTACTTCTGTAATCTTGTCGTAAAACCCCAGTAGGTTTGTGACACAGGATTTTCCCTCTCTGACACCGTACTGTTTATTGTATATAAGCTCATTCCTTTCTAGGTGCTCCACCACTCTTCTGATAAGCTTGTCCATGACTTTGCATAGTACTATACTTATCAGTGACACTGGTCTGTAGTTTAATGCTGCCTGTCTCCTCTCTTAAAAATTGGGACTACATACGCTGGCTTCCACATCTCGGGTAGTTGCCCAATTTCGATAGATGTGTTGAAGATTGTTGTTAGTGGGACACACAGTGCCTCTTCTCGCTCTCTCAGAACCCATGGAGAGACGTCCGGTTTGACTGTCTTTGACGTATCTAGTTCACTTCGCAGCCTCTTCACCACCTCCTCGCTTGTTCATAGTGTGTCCAGCATTTGGTGTACCCTACCATTCCGATTTCCTGGAGTCCTTTCTGTCTCCACTGAAAATACTTCCTTAAGTCTCGCGTTGAGCTCTTCATGTACTTTTTGGTCGTTTCTTGTGATTTCCACTCCTTCCTTTCTCAGCCTGATTACTTGGTCCTTGACTGTTGTTGTACAGCCACTTTGTGTAAAACAGCTTTGGGTCAGATTTGGCTTTCGATGTTATGTCATTCTCGTTTTGCCGCTGGGCCTCCCTCCACATCCATGCATATTCATTTCTAGCTCCTCAACTAATCCCCTTATTTTCCTGGGTCCCTTGTCTTCTATATTTTTTAATTTCTCTAGCGCACTTACTTTTGGCCTTTCTACACCACTGGGTGATCCAAGGGTTCGTTCTGGTCTTTCCATTGTTTCTGTTGCCCTTAGGTACGAAACTCTCTTCTGCCTCCATGCATTATGTGGTCACTGTTTTTTTCCTACTAGTTCTCCTTCCCACTGAACCTCATGCAGGAAATTCCTCATGTCTGTCTAGTCCCCTCTTTTGTAGTTTGGATTCTCCTATCCTACTCGTTCTGTTTCGCTCTCCACTTTTAACTCTACGAAGTATTCGAAACTCAGGACCAGGTGATTACCAGCTCCGAGGGGCATTTCATGTGATGTTCCCAGTGTCTGAACTACTCAAAGTGAATACGGCGTCCAGCCTTGCTGGTTCATTTTCTCGTTTCTCTCTGTTAGTGTAACTAACATGATGCATGAGGTTTTTCAGTACCACCTCCATCATCTTAGCCCGCCATATGTGTGTGTATGTGTGTGTGTGTGTGTGTGTGTGTGTGTGTGTGTTGTGTGTGTGTGTACTAACCCAATTATACTCAGCTAATTGTAGTTACAAGGGTCGATTCATAGCTCCAGGCCCCACCTCTTCACTGGTGGCTACTGAGTCACTCACTTCCTGCTCTGTGAGATTTATCATACCTTTTCTTAAAGCTGTGTATGGATTCTGCCTCCACCTCTCTTTCCAGACTATTCCACTGCCTGACAACTTTGTGACTGAAGAAATACTTCCTAACATCTCTCTGACTTATCTGAGTCTTCAACTTCCAATTGTGACCCCATGTTGCTGTGTCCATTCTCATGAATATCTTACCTCTGTCCACTTTGTCGATTCCTCTCAGTATTTTATGTGTTATCATGCCCCCCCCCTGTCCTCCAGTGTCGTTAGGTCAATTTCCCTTAACCTCTCCTCGTTGGACATGCCCCTTAGCTCCGGGACTTATCTTGTTGCAAACCTTGGCACTTTCTCTAATTTCTTGACGTGCTTGCCCATGTATAGGCTCCAAACTGGTGCTGCATACTCTAATATTGGCCTGATGTACACGGTGTACAGTGTCCTGAACGACTCCTTACTGAGATGTCGGAAAGCTATTCTTAGGTTTGCTATTCACCCATATGCTGCAGCAGTTATTTGGTTGATGTGCATCTCAGGACATATGTTCGGTATGATACTCACCCCAAGATCCTTTTCCTTAAGTGAGGTTTGTAGTTTTTGGCCCCCTAGGCTGTATTCCGTCTGCGGTCTTCTTTGCCCTTCCCCGATCTTCATGACTGCACTTGGCGGGGTTGAACCCCATGAGCCAGTTGCTAGACCAAGCCTGTAGCCTCTCCAGATTTCTTTGTAGTCCTGCCTGGTCCTCCTCCGACTGAATTCTCCTCATTAACTTCATATCGTCTGGAAACAGAGGCAATTCTTAGTCTATTCCTTCCATCATGTCGTTCACAAATACCAAAAACAGCACCGGTCATAGAACTGACCCCTGTGGAACTCCGCTCGTCACAGGTGCCCACTCCGACACCTCGTCACGTACCATGTCTCGCATTGCCTTCCTGTCGGGTATTTTCTGATCCATTGCAGTGCCCTCCCTATTATACGTGTGTGTGCGCGTGCGCGCGCATGTGTGCATGCAAGCGTGCGTGCTTGGGTGAGTGCGTGCGTGTGTGTATGGGTGGATGTGTATGGGTGTATTTGTGTATGGGTGTGTGTATGTGTGCGCATTCTTCTATGTGTGGTTGCAGTGGGCAAATCACTGCTCCTTACCAGCCTCTGTGCTGGCCGCTACTGGTTTCACTCTGTTCTGGCTGCGTGAGACTTATCATGCCTATCCTTAAAAGTGTATACGAATTCTTCTGCTTCTACCATTTCGGTGTCTAAGTCGTCCCACTTCCTTTGTGTATACTCACCTATTTGTGGTATGTGTGTGATTACTAAACTAAATAATTTTCCTCAACAGGGCCACTTTCCACTGGCGTCTCAACGGGTCAGAGAGAACCTACACCTCTAAGGGTGAGCCACTACCCTGGGGACACTTGGCGTCTCACTACACCTTCGTCGGCGCCTCAGACAAGGACTACGGCATGCTTCACTGCTGGGCCAACAACTCCATAGGCGTCCAGGACAACCCATGCATTTTCCAAATCATTCCTGCCGGTGGGTGGTTTTGTGGGTATCTGAGGGCGAGGATTATTATTGAGATGGGTGAGCTGTTGTGGATGTTTGAGCTGATGTTTGCATGTGTGAGGTAGGAGAGAAAATGTGTTCGTGTTTCCCTTTCATCTCATGTATATCTCCTTTCCATCTCTCTCTCTCTCTCTCTCTCTCTCTCTCCTCTTCTCTCTCTCTCTCTCTCAAACACACTCGAAAGCTTCACATCAGGATCCAACAGACATCAACTTAGTCACGTCTGCTTCTTATTACTGGGGTTGGAGCGAGACACTCTGGGTACGACTTTGTTTTAATGAAAGTGAGAATTATATCAATAAAGAATTAACTCTGCTCTGACCTGTGTGCAAACTGTTTGTGTTGATTACCTTTGGACTCTGGCAATAGGTATGCATGTGTGCACCTCAGTGCATGGATACGTGTGTGTGTGTGTGTGTGTGTGTGTGTGTGTGGTAACACTGTTGTTTAAAAGAAATCCCAGGGTTTTGCAGTGGTAAATCCTCTAAGCTCATTCGAAGCAAATTTATTCATGGAATACTTTGAGACTGAATTATTAGCCAGATAATAAATCTAAAGAGGCTGAAATATGTAGATGACATCGCAGTTTGGCTAGAATTGGAATATTTTGATAGTTTCTGGCTCAATAATAGAAATTGCCTCTCATTGACTTCATAAATGAGACACAATAATTCCCCTTTTCTGGATGTTCAGTATATATGAGACAATCACTGAGACCTTCAGGAAACTAAAATGTGTTCATGATTTAAGGTATGTGCAGTAATGCAGTTGGATTAAAGACGTCAGTTGCAACTTCAGCCGAGAGTGTTCCTCACCCCACTTATACATATGGGCTTCTTCCAAGCAATGTCAGATCAGGAGACCTTTACATCTTTAAGTGAAATGAGCATCTCATAACATGAAAGTAGCAAATAGCGTGACCAGTAACGGCTACGAAGCGGACATCCGTGCACCAGAGTATACAGTTTTTTTTTTTTTCATTTAGGTCTCGCCTAATTGATGCACATCCTACTTATTTCTACTTTTCTATTAGTTCTCTGCACCCTACAAGCTTGTAAAGGCAAAGTAAGTTAAATTGTTCATCACTCTTTTCCGTGTTACGTAAGACAGATCGAGAATGTAGGATTCAGTGCGTATATTCTGAAAATGTTTTACGTATGTTTGTCTTTATCCTACTACTGTAATGGCCCGATGACTGTTTCATCATGGGTTCAAACTCCACCCTTTCCGTTGTTTGTTTGCAATTGTTTCGTGAATCAGTATTTTGATATCAGTCTAATTTTCACAGTTTCACACTTGCTGAGGTTGACGTTCAGTAGGTATTTGTCTGTTGTCTGTTCAAGTCGGCTTTTTTGCGGTTCCATGCTGTCTTCGGTTTTTATTTTCATCATCTTCGAACAGTGATATTCAGGATTTTTATCTCTTCTGTTATACCTGTTACATATATAAGGACCAGTACTTGTAACAGCACTGATCTTCGTTGTGCTCCACTTGTCACATCTGCCCCTCTTGATACGTCCTCACTGGTCATCACTTTCTTCTCTCCTTTGAGTATTCTGTGATTTATTGTAGAACCTATCTTATGTTTTTTTTCTTGGTGTTCATCATTCTCTCGTTTAGTATAGAATCGAATTCTTTCTAACAATCGAAGACTTCCTACCCTTCACATTATTGTCTGTCTGTCACCCTGTCATAGAACTTCGCAATTATGTTGGTAGAATTACCGACAATATGTTATTTAAAAGGACACATGAGAGCGAAACGTTGCCAGAGTAATTAGTCGCATTAGTTTCACATGTATCCTTTTACTTAACAGAGAACTTCTCTTGGGTCGTAAAAAGGACTTTCTTCTTTAAATCAATTATTTATTTTAAGTAAATCCAGATTTCTTTAAATACTACTCCATTTAGAAAACTTGTACATATTTTATAATTTCCAAAGCTATTTACAGTAGTCTCAGACGTCTCTTTCCCTTTTCCACTAAAGTTAGGATGTTTTCTACTTTTTATATACCCAATCACATCTGTATTTTGTTTACTAAGGTTTTCAGTTTCGTAGACAGACATCAGGACACAAACACATTCTCCTGAAACGAGGTATAGTCCACCTAGCTTTAGTTTGGAATAAGAGGGTACAAGAGAAGACTCTCTCCACCCTCAACTTTTCTCCGGCTACACTGTCAATTGGAATAAAAACAGTGAAAGGAATTCATGACGTCAGGGGCGGCGTTACGGTAGGGCTGGGGGGCTTCAGCCCCCCTAAAGAATTCTTTTAACCTCCAAACCTTTCCCCCAATAAAAATAGTAATAACGCTGTTTCAGTACAAATCTTCTATTCCCCTTCAAAGCACTTAGCCACCCCAGTACCTTCCAGTACAGAAATTCTGGCGCCGCCTCTGCATGACGCATAGAGAAAAGTGCATGTATGTTTATTATTAATCGTGTCGGTAAAGTTTTGTCTACTGCTAGGGCTAGTACAACTGCAGTGACAGCCTCTACTCCTACCACAATCACCACCATCATTAACAGTTTACCACCGGTACATCTGCTACTATCACCACCACTACCACCACAACAACCCTATACCAACCTCCACTACCTCTATATCTACCACTGCAAATACTATCACCATCACACCACTACTACTTATCCCAGTTTCCACTGTCGCAGCCTCCACCACTACTACTGTTTCTACATTGCTCTGAAAGGTTCAGAATGAAATAGACTTGAGAACAGAACAGAAGCAGGAAATAAACTTGTCCGTATTGTATACCATTCATGTACAGGAAATATACTGGTTAAATAAAACATTGTTAACTTTACAGTCATCAAAAAGGCTAAAAGGCAGGACAACGAGCTATAGCTCAACACCGGAAAAATTTACTAATTCACAAATAAAGAAATTTTGCGTCCACTTGTGTGAGATTCCTGTCTCTCGATATTGTATTAATTCCCCCCACACGCGAAGAAATCTTTCTGAATTCTGAAGATGCTATCAAAAGTTGAGCGAGGGACGCGAGTTGAAGAACTGAAGAGGGGTACACTTTTAGTGACAGGGATGCGGAAATCGAAATTTGCCTGAAACCGAGTTATATATATATATATATATATATATATATATATATATATATATATATATATATATATATATAATATATATATATATATAATATATATATATATATATAAATATATAATATATATAAACTGATCTCTGGCTGAAGAAGACTCGAACCTACAAACCTTGGAACAAGGTACGCAGTGCTTTACCTATCTACTCACACTGGACCATTACCTTGGAGTCCAGCTTGCGCTAGACTTTGATCCAAGGCAGCCAGCTTTCAAGGAGAAGGCTTACAGCTTTTCATCTCATCCCCTGCATGCATCAGCCTTACTAGAGATATTAACATTGCAAGGAATTCGCAAGAGCAGGCGAAATATACACGAAGGCGAAGTAAAGCACTGCGTACCTTGTTCCAAGGTTCGTAGGTTCGAGTCTCCTTCAGCCAGAGATTAGTGTTTGTGTATATTTCGCCTGCTCTTGCGAATTCCTTGCATATATATATAATATATAATATATATATATATATATATATATATATATATATATATATATATATATATATATATATATATATATATATATATATATATATATATATATAAGTAAATCGCAAGCTGCGGCCACAAGTTTTATGCAGAACCAGGTAATCCAGTATTTTAGACGGTCATATATGTATATTACCTTATTAAAGTAACAGTTAATGAATCAGCAAATCTTTTATACAATATGTAATATATATAAAGAGTATTGCCAATGGAAGGTATTCAGGGTCACGTATACGTGAAATATTTTTTCATATATAAAACTTATTGTGGACCACAGTTTTGCTACTTACTGGCCGCGTGAGGCTCACGGGCGGCGTGAGGCTCACGGGCGGCGTGAGGCTCACGGGCGGCGTGAGGCTCACGGGCGGCGTGAGGCTCACGGGCGGCGTGAGGCTCACGGGCGGCGTGAGGCTCACGGGCGGCGTGAGGCTCACGAGCGGCGTGAGGCTCACGGGCGGCGTGAGGCTCACGGGCCGCGTGAGGCTCACGGGTCGCATAAGGCTCACGGGCCGCGTGAGGCTCACGGCGCGTGAGGCTCACGGGGCGTGAGCTCACGGTCGCATAAGGCTCACGGGCGCGTGAGGCTCACGGCCGCGTGAGGCTCACGGGCCGCGTGAGGCTCACGGGCGGCGTGAGGCTCACGGGCGGCGTGAGGCCATCGGCCAGCCGGTTGTGCATCCCTGAGATAAAGGCTCATTTTTAGGAGGGGTAGCGAGAAGGAATTTAAAAATGCATAAAATAAAATATTGGAACTGGAGGAACTAATGTGGAGATCTGGGCAATTATAAGGAGATTTAATGCAGGAATTGGGGACCGCCTGCTTTAAATGATAGCAGCCAGACCTACCGATTAATCCCGGCTGTTTTCCTATTGGAAATTTACCAACGACTATTTATTACCATCACATAGGAAAAATAGTAATTATATTTATTAGTGCAGCTGGCGAGCTCTGCGTGACCAAATACACCAATTACAGTAGTAAATTGCGTGGTTCTATAATTACCTAATTGTAACTACCTATTTTTAATCACCTATTTGTGGGAATACGCGCTCTACCTCACAACCGAAGACTTGAAATAGCTTTATGATATCTATTTTGAACTCCTGTATGGAGTACACTTCTTCTGTGTCCCCAACATTCTTTCAGAGGAGTGGAAATGTGTGTCTAAAACTGTAAGCTGGGGCCATCCATGCTGTATAGCCCTTGTGGCTTAGCGCTTCTTTTTGATTATAATAATGGGGCCATCCATTTACCTTTGTGATGATGATCAACTTGAATCCTCGTCAAAATTATTATCTGGAACTTGCGTATCACACAGTTTTATTTGTCATCTTCCAAGCCATATAATGCTTCACAGGTTA